AAAGCAAAAGACCAAGCAGCTTTTGCCTGTTGCAATGTATGGGCCTCCAAAACACCTATATTAATCTGGATTTGACCATAAGGAATTTTACCAAATGGCTTCTGCATACTGCTTTAGTTTTTGGTCCTTGTGCTAGTGAAAAATGTTTCTTAGAAAGTTGTATGTATTTATTAAATGTATACATTTAGTTATTATTAAATGTTTGTTACATTAGGGTCATAGATAAAAATAATAAAAAATAAAAAAAACAGTCTGACCATACACATTTTTGAGATGGAATATATGGCCTCTTAATAGACATTCCGGGATGACTTTTTCCTATTTATAAGTGAATTTCAGATAGCTCTATTATTTTATAACGGTGTATGAGCTGTTTTGAATAAAATAAATGCTATATGATTCTACACAACTGAAACTCATATGAAACCATTTAAACATGTCATTTTAAAGAGGCATGGAGGTCTCTAATAGGAAATGTTATGTATACTTATAGTATGTCTAGTAAAATTATAGATCCTTGTTGGGTTTTATCTGACTAATTCCATTAGCCTTGTTGTGTGTCTTAGCTGCCACACTTGCTAGAAAATTGGGCTCAATTTGTTAAGAGGAACACTACATTATGCAATGCATCCAAAACACTAACTCTAATCTATTAAGACTGTATGACTTCATGTAGACACCATAGGAAGCAAAACGTCCAGACTCTAAATGAGCTATACTTAGAAAGGCATTTAAAGGATACTGAACCGCTGATATTAACAGTGAGCACATTACAGAGTTAACATGCTGCTATCATGTGACACACAAAAAAGTATTTTCTACATACATAAGGCGTTTGTAAAGCAATATCTCAAAATCATCCGGGATGCTTATGGAAAATGTATTTTACAAGGGTGCTTTGTAGGTTTTGATGCTCTGTGGAATGTGTTTCTTTAAATAATTTGCAAGTTGAGAAGGGTTAATTTGGTCAGTGTGTATGAACCGTAAAAAGGATGTCTTTCAGAATAGCCTATAAAACGAAATAAGTTTTTTTGGAACTTTACTGGATGTATCACTTTCCCAAATCCAACACCCCCTACAGCCCAACAATTCAACAATCAAGAATTTCCAGATTTTACTAGCATCATGACATAAAGTCATGATTTTATTAATGACATAGAGGCGAGTATATTATATCTTATATTATTTGTGTAACTGTTTTCCCCCCGACACCTTTATCTTCTGTTGTTTTGGTTTATAATGTTTCTATTGTTGTTTGTCCTTTCATTACTAAGTCAGTGTGTGATACTTGCCTTTTTGTGATCGCTGAGTTCAGACACAGCCCTCCTCCACATTCTAGCCAATTTTGCCCAGCTAGTGCCCCTTTTCCGTAGTTGATAATGTTGTGCAACATCAGTGATAGGTTTAGAACTGTCCATAATCACTTTTTTGGAGAAGTGTTTGGACTTCGGCAGAGCCTCTCAGTCTGCTGGTTTCAATTTGGGGGCTGACAGAACAGCTGTCAGAGAGGTCAAAGGGACAGATCACTGAACTTCTAGAAAAGATAGTAGAAATCGAACTAGACATCATACCCATATCCTGGACCAGAGCCCTGGTCATAGATTTGGTGATTAAGGAGTCCAAGGTATTTTGGAACTCATCTGAGACAAAAAACAAACAAAAACAAAAAAACGTCTTCGTACCCAGAGATGGAAGGGGAAATCCACACAGGAGCTTCAGAATCCATTTGATGGTCAGAAGGGGGGAACCATCTCCTCTGCAAACTGCATCATTAATAAGGAATTAGTAAAGCACTGAAGCAAACCACGTAGGGATACTTACAGCACAGGCTATTAGCAGCCACCAAAGTATGGAATTAGGCCACCCAGATGGATAAGTAAGCTGTCCTATTGTAAAGAGAAGTCTAAGGGTTAAGTAACCCAAAGACTCCCAATGACAACCTATGAAAACCTAGGTGACAAGAAAGTTTAAACACTAAAAGGATATGCAGTGAAGCAAAGAGCCAGACAGAGGTAGATGGAAAAAGGCAACCAAGCCAGCACCACAAGGGGGAGGTATATTGTTGGTCCCCACACAAAAACATCAAAAATGCAGAGAAAGTGGCTGCCGCAGTTGTAAGCGGGTCCAAAATGATGACTGCCAGTTGAGATATTCGTCCACCTAAAAGATGGCGCCTCAAGTGTCTGACAAAACAAACAAAATGCCTGCCGCAAGCACTATGCGGTTCCAAAAAGATGTTGCCAGAAGAAACCATTGATGTGGTAAATATTCAAGTACTTACAAAGTAGAGAATACAGAAAATTACAAAATTATCTAAAATGAGTAGTCAAGGCAACTATTTTTTATCTTTCAAATCATAATCCTCTTCACTACCCAGAAGTTTGGTGTTTTGATGCAAACATTTAGGTGTAATTAAAGTTTGTGGGGGAAGAAAATGAAGGTAATATAGCCTAGAAAGGGAGGGCTTGTAAAGGCAGCTAATGAGAGAATTGCAGGTTTTGTAAGTGTTTTTTTTTATTATACCCCCAATTTTAAAAATGCATAATTAAATTAATGCAAGGTTTGGGCATATCTGCTAAACTTTGATTTTTATTTATTTTGTATTTGTGCACTGGAGTGTCCCTTTTTTTTATTCCTAAAACATCTTATTCCAAATTCAGTGTCACACTCATATAGTGGAAAACTTTTACCTGAATTCTATTGACCTCCAGCGGCTGTCAGCTGATAATGATTCCCAACTTCTATCCATCCCTACTTTCTTCTGTCCCTCACTGGCTACCTCCTCATATACACTACCCTCACCTCTGCCCTGGACGCTGCAGCCCCACTCCAAACATGCACCTTCGAGGAGGATACGCCCCATCCCGTGGCAGACTAAATTAACACGCTACCTGCAGAGATGCTCCTGCTCTGCTGAACGCTGCTGGAGGAGGTGTCGCACCCAGTCAGACTTCCTCCACTACAATTCATGTTCATACTTTTCCTTTCTCATTAGTTCATGCTCCCGTAATCCCAGGTGTCTCTTTAATAACTTTAACTCCCTTCTTTGCCCTGCTGTGGCCACCCCCAAACTAACCTTACAGCCGATAGTTTTGCACGCTACTTTACTATAAAGATTGAACAGCTAAGGAAAGAATTCTCCCCACCATGCTCCTCTCTCTCAACCACACCTGGATCATGCCTTTCCTACCCTTGAGACTTTCTCAGGTTACTGAACAAGAGGTGGCAGCATTTCTCTTTTCCTCTCACCCCACCACTTGATACTGTCCCATCTTGTATTATCAGATCACTCTCCTCTTGTCTTGTGCCTTCCTTAACACACATCTTCAACTGCTTTCACTCTTATGGCATTGTCCCTGCTGCCCTTAAACATGCTACTTTAGTACCATCTTGAAAAAAAAAAAAAATCTCTTGACCCATCCTCCCCTTCTAACTGTCATCCCATATCCCTGCTCCCTTTTCCCTCAAAGCTTCTGGAAAAACTTGTCTTTACCTGTCTGTCTCACTTCCTCAATTCCACCGCTCTCCTTGACCCTCTTCAGTCTGGTTTCCATCCCTTCCACTATACTGAGACTGCTCTTATCAAAGTTACTAATGACCTAATCGCAGCTAAATCCAAAGGCCAACGTGTCACCACTTGCCTTTATTCCATCTCTGATTGGATGTCCTTCAGCTTTCTAAAACTCAATCTTTCTAAAACTGAACTTCTTGTCTTTCCACCTACTAATATTGTTCCTCCTCTCTTGCTCTCCCTTCAAGTTGGTGGTATCAACATCAGCCCATCCTTGCAAGCGTGCTGTCTTGGCATTATATTTGATCCAGCCCTCACCTTTGAGCCTCACATCCAGTCTGTTACCAAATTATGTAGATTCCACCTTAAAAACATACCCCACAACCACCACTGTCTTACACAAGATTCAACTAAGGAGCTTGTCCATGTTATAGTAATCTCTCGCATGGATTATGGTAACCCTCTCCTAATTGGAGTCGTATTGCCCCGCTACAGTCTGTAATTAATGCTTTTTCCATTCTGATTTTCCATTCCTGTTGCTCCTCTCAGGTGTCAGTCCTCAATTCAAGGTACTAATCTACACTTATAAAGAGGTATGCCTCTTCTTGTCTCTCCACTTTACCCATGACTTTCTCCTGTCCGCTGCTCACACCTGTAAGGCAACTCACGCTTGCAGGGCTTTTCGCAGGGCCTCCCTTCCTATGGAATAACCTGCCTTCCACCATCAGACTCTCCCCTAGTCTTCGATCGTTTAAGAAGTGCCTCAAAACCCATCTCTTTAGGAAAGCTTACTTCCTTTCTGAGTAACATCTACCTGAGTAACCTCTCCTTTCTCCTCCAGCTCTGCTTCACTCCCACCTTGTTTAAGTGTTATCTCCTGTGCCATTGTTCCTATAGACTGTAAGCTCGTCTGAGCAGGGTCCTCTTCAGCCTATCGTTCCTTTAAGTTTATAATTGTCTCATTTATTGTTAAATCTCCCCCTCCTATAATATTGTAAAGCACTATGGAATATGCTGGCACTATATCAATACCAATAATAATAATAATAGATCTGCTGATGATAAATAACATCCTCGCGTACTGTCTTAGGGACCAAATGTTTAAACAGAAAAAAATTAGTTGATTCTTAATAGGTTAAACAAGTTGCAACTTTGGTTCCTTTTAAAAATTTTGTGACTCATTAGCAGTGCTGCTTACCTTTTAAATGCAAAATCGGTTGAAAACTGATTTAAAAGGAGTACAGTTTATCTTTAAATCTTGCAAAGTTTTAAAATGATACAGGAAGCACTGTAGATGTGGAAGATGCATACACTGATAAACATTTCAGCATTTGTCACAAATTCTTTTTAATGTGCATCAGCTTGAATTATACAAATCAAAGTCTGTACAAACTGGTTTGTTGGCTTTATAGCAATAAGAAACTTTCAAGAACAAAGCATCTTCCCATCTTTTTCTTACGGGTGAGGCCTCAGTTGTTATTATGTTGAGTTAAAGTTCTGTGAGCAGAAGGAAAACACCTGTGTAAATGTAGCCTACATAGAACAGCTTGCCACTGAGGTGGCAGGTGATTTTACCAGCATTTGCAGACAATCTCTAGTTCACCAGCTGTTGTATGCTTCAATGCACATCAAGCCTACTCATCTTAATTGGTAACTGCAGGCAGAATAACTTGTATACTACAGCTATCATCATGTGCGGCCATCATAGTCACTCCTATCATGTGCAGCTACATTACTGGTTATGGTGCCATGACACCCTCCCGAAAGGTTTGATAGCTTACCTGGGGTCAGGTGTCATTCACCTACTCCCCTCTCTTACCAGCTCTCTGCATTGAGCTAGTCCATGGGTGCAGGGCTTAATCATTGGTTGAGAGTGCTCAGGTGATGTTCTTAACCAATAAGTTGGCCCTGAAATGCAGGATTTAGTTCTATGTAGCTAACAGGACCTCCTTAAATGAGGCTTCATCTGGTGCCTGGTGGACCCCAGATAAGTTGTCCAAACGTTTGCAATCAGCGTGTCTACCTGCCCAGGGTGGGTGCCAGAGTACACCTAGCCCCATAACCACTCCAGCAGGTTTATAATGCTCAGAGTGGTCCTTAGGTTTTAATGAATTGGAAACATAAGAATTAAAGGGACACTCCTGGCACCCAGGCCACTTCTGCCCATTGAAGTGGTCTGGGCACCCACTCCCATCGCCCTTAACCCATCACCTTAGTCCAGTTCTGGGAGGAGATCCCTCAGGAGACCATCCGCCACCTCATCAAGAGCATGCACAGGCGTTGTAGGGATGTCATACATGCACGTGGAGGCCACACACACTACTGAGCCTCATTTTGACTTACCGTATTTATCGGCGTATAACACGTACTTTTTCTCCCTGAAAATAGGGGAGAAATTGTGGGTGCGTGTTATACGCCGGCCCTTTAAATACTGTAGCCGCCTGAGCGCTCTGTCAAGAGCGCTCAGGCGGCTGCAGTTGGTTCTCACCTCCCCTGTAGCGTGGCCGAGCCGCTCTGCTGTCCGCGGTGCCCAGCCGGAGTGATAGGAAGGTGCACGCTCAGTGTGCACCTTCCTGTCAGTCCGACCGGGTACAGGAAACAGAAACTCCTGTTCCGCGCGGAACAGGAGTTTCTGATTCCTGTACCCGGTCGGACTGACAGGAAGGCACACCGAGCCGCTGCACCCTCCCATCACCCCGCACCCATGATTGTACTGAGCCGGCCCGGCCAACGCCTACAGGGAGGGGCAAGAAGGTAAGTGAACAGAGGGAAGGGGAAGCAAGAGGGAGGGGGAGCAAGAAGGGGGGAGTGGGGAGAAGGGGAGGGGGGGAGCAAGAAAGGGAGGGGGAGGGGGGAGGCGAAAGGAAGAGAGGGGAGGGGGCAAGAAGAGGAGGGGGGAGTAAGAAGGGGAGGGGGCAAGAAGAGGGGAGGCAAGAAAGGGCGTAAGAAGAGGGGGGAGGGGGGAGTAAGAAAAGGGTAAGGAGGGGAGGGGGGGTAGTAAGAAGAGGGGGAAGTAAAGAAGAGGGAGGGGGGAGGAAGAAAAGAAGTGAGGGGAGGGGGAGCAAGAAGGGGGGTAAGAGGGGAAGCAAGAAGAGGTGGAGGGGGGGAGTAAGAAAGGGGGGTAAGAAGAGGGAGGGGAGTAAGAAGGGGGTAAGAGAGGTAAGAAGAGGGGGAGGGGGAGTAAGAAGGGGGTAAGAGGGGGAGGGGGAAGTAAGAAGAGGGGGAGTAAGAAGGGGGTAAGAGGGGGAAGGGGAAGTAAGAAGAGGGGGAGGGGGGAGTAAGAAGTTCTTTATTTGAAATTTAAAGGACCACTCTAGGCACCCAGACCACTTCAGCTTTATGAAGTGGTCTGGGTGCCAGGTCCCTCTAGGATTAACCCTTTTTTTATAAACAGAGAAACTGCTATGTTTATACTGAGGGTTAATCCAGCTTCCCGAGCCTCTAGTGGCTGTCTCATTGACAGCCGCTAGAGACGCTTGCGTGCTTCTCACTGTGAAAATCACAGTGAGAGCACGCAAGCGTCCATAGGAAAGCATTGTAAATGCTTTCCTATGCGACCGGCTGAATGCGCGTGCGCATTCAGCCGATAACGTCGCGAGCAAGGAGGAGAGGAGGAGTACAGCTCCCTGCCCTGCGCTGGAGAAAGGTAAGTGTTTAACCCCTTCCTCTCTCCAGAGCCCGGCGGGAGTATGTTTTCCTGGCACTATAGTGGTCCTTTAAGTTTTTTTTCCCTGAAATGTCCTTCTTAAAATGAGGTGCGTGTTATACGCCGGTGCGTGTTATACGCCGATAAATACGGTATTTTAAGAACATTACATCAAAGTTGGATCAGCCTGTAGTGTGTTTTTCCACTTTAATTTTGAGTGTGACTCCAAATCCAGACCTCTATGGGTTGAAAAATTTGATTTCCATTTTTTAATTTTTCTGTGATTTTGTTGTCAGCACATTCAACTATGTAAAGAACAAAGTATTTCAGAAGAATATTTAATTCATTCAGATCTAGGATGCGTTATTTTTGTGTTCCCTTTATTTTTTTGAGCAGTGTATATATATATATATATATAGACAGATAGACAGATAGATAGATACACACCTCATTTAAACTTAATTTAAAGGTTCTAGATCCAGAGATTCATACCTAAGAGTGATGGGAGTTAACTACACTCTACTACACACTCTTTGCAGTTGAAACCCTTAATTCAGACCCATTCCAGCTATTGAAATGGACACATAACACTGTTTCGTCTACACTGCTCTTGTCTCAGCATGAATTTCACTATATTTTGAAGCACTATCAAGTCTAATGAATACATAATAATTGTATACATAACAGTTGATTCTGCCCATGGGTTTCTAGTTCATTGGGTTGATCATGTTATACAAATTCACAACCAAGAGAAGGAAATTATTAAGACAGCTATGCAGGGGATTGTAAAGAAATTTAACTAATGGTTATTCAAAATATTAGCAATTTATTGGACGAATGAATAAACTCGTTTAGTGATTCACAACACTCCTTTCCAAATTACTGTAGCCAAACTAAGATTAGGGGGCTCACTAGATAGTCCGAACGATAATGCAGTAATGGAATGGGACAATACGGCATTATTGCATTTATTAAATATTAAAGGACCACTATAGTGCCAGGAAAACATACTCGTTTTCCTGGCACTATAGTGCCCTGAGGGTGCCCCCACCCTCAGGGTCCCCCTCCCGCCCGGCTCTGGAAGGGGAAAAGGGGTAATAACTTACCTTTTTCCAGCGCTGGGCGGGGAGCTCTCCTCCTCCGATCCTCCTCCCCGTCGGCTGAATGCGCACGCGCGGCAAGAGCTGCGCGCGCATTCAGCCCGTCGCATAGGAAAGCATTTACAATGCTTTCCTATGGACGCTTGCGTGCTCTCACTGTGAAAATCACAGTGAGAAGCACGCAAGCGCCTCTAGTGGCCGTCAATGAGACAGCCACTAGAGGCTTTGGGGGAAGGCTTAACCCATTCATAATTATAGCAGTTTCTCTGAAACTGCTATAATTATGAAAAAATGGGTTAACCCTAGAAGGACCTGGCACCCAGACCACTTCATTAAGCTGAAGTGGTCTGGGTGCCTAGAGTAGTCCTTTAACGTCCGGTAGCTTGCTACTTCCTTTCAGTTTTAGGTTTTATCAAAGAATATAGTGAAGCCATTCATACTAGCGCTGAGTAATGTGCCAAGCATTATCCAAAGTTGTGGTATGACTGCAACTCTCAGGGAGTAACGTTTGGCACCCCAAAATAATATAGTATTTTAACATATGATTATCTATATACCTCTAGATTGTTCACTCAGGGTCCTCAATAACCACTTATATCTTGTTAAAACTTGTAATAAGTTTGTTTCTCTTTTTTTCTGTTATAATCCCTCATTAAAATTGTAAAGCACTGCAGAAAATGCTGATGCTAGACGAATGCCTATAATAACAATATGCTTTACTAAAGATCCTGTTTTTGTAAATAACACCCAAAGGCAAATTCTTGGAGGAAAACAGCACCTACTATCGGCTCTCATAGACAGTCCTCTAAATGTCTCAAATCTACGCTAGAAAGGCATCCAAAGCATACTGGTATTTTTCTACATTCTAAGAACTAAGACATTTGCAAGAGGGCACTGACGTAGGTCAACATATCTGCTGACATGCTGTCAAAAAAAGACTGTGTTTCACAGCCCTCCCCTGGGCTGGGGATATTTGCCTTAGTGCAGTGTTTCAATATTGCATTCTTATTACTTTCCTTTGTTTTATAAGATCCCTGGTTTATCCAGAGACAAGAGCAGACTATGGAGCATGAAAAGAATTCAATCTCATCTCTCATCTGCTGACAATTCCTCACCCAAACGTCTATCTTACTACAAGACTGAAATTCCAAATCTTGTCTCTGCCCTCTTCCTTGTGATGCTTATACTGTTACCATGCAGCATTTTCATTGGTCACTCCCCTCTCTGATTTGCATAGCCATGCCCAATTCACTTCAGTCAGTTCTGGAGCTTGCTTTTCTTGTTATAATGCAGTGTAGGGCTCTGTGCTAGGTACGAGGCATTTAATGCAGTGCGGGGCTCAGGGCTGATAGAACGGATTTAATGCAGTAGGGCTCTGTCCTAGGTGAACAGCACTTAATGCAGTTCAGGGCTTTGTGCTGCATAGAAGACATTTAATGCAGTGTAGAGCTCTGTGCTGGGTAACAGGCATTTTCCTGCTGTGACAAACAAGAAACCTGAAAATTAAGACCGGACTTTCTCTCTCTTTTGCATTCCTTGCAAGAAAAATGATCCTGGTTATGCTGTGCCAATAAGGAGTGATCCACAGAAGCCATCACCTTATGAGAACACAAAATTAACTGCAGCGGTGCTCCTTTTCTGTTTAGTATTAGTGGTGCAGTATGAAGTGCAGTTATGGCAAGAAGAGGTAAGACAGCTGTTAGGACACTGGAAGATTTGACCCTGGATTCTGGTTATGGTGGAGCTGCCGACTCTATCAGGTCATCCAATTTGTCCCTCTGTTCTGATTCTCATCAGGTAGCTTATCCTCATGGAGGAAACTGTTGGTATCTAACTGACTCCATGCACAGTAGACACAACAGCTTTGACACGGTCAACACTGTCCTGGCTGAAGACTCAGAGGTCCTGGACTGCTCGGGACAGTGCTCCAGGCTGCCTGACCTTGAGG